GCTCCAAGATTAAGCTGGTAATCTAGTTCAGAAGATTCTAAACTGGGAGAATTTCCTGACAAGTCTAGCAATTCAGGCAGGCAAGAAAAATAGACCAATAACTCCCCACTCTGCATATCCCAGTCAAATCAAAGGATTTACGGGCAGTCCTCGGTTAGTGACCACAATTAGGATTGGCAACGGAGCCTCTAACTATGTTTACAGCTTTCCTTGGCTTTGCAAATCTGCTAAAGCCACCCACGGGAGGATTGGTTGCCAAATGACATTTTTTTGAACCCCCACCATGATTTTGAACGGTCACTAAATGAAGCAGTCGCTAAATGAGGACTGCCGGTGCGGGGTAAGAAAAACGAAGTCGATTTTTTTTTCTTATTTTTCTCCGTTCTGCCTTATCCCCCCCCCCCCTTTTTGGATGTTTTCTGGTCTGAGGCAGACTTCTCCCAGCTGGCCCTCGTAAGGGCAACTACAAAGACCATGCTCCACTACCACCCAACATATCTCAAGCTATGGAAGACGAAAGAGACGACTTTCAGGGGGAAATGATTAAAATGAGAAATATCAAGATATTTCTCCAAATATTTCTATCAAAATTATTTCTAGTCCCTGGGAAAAAGCTGGAGCCTCAATGGAAGATTGAGGGGGATCCTGCCCCCCTCGTGTGGGGTTCGTGGGCCCTTTAGGTGCCACTTGGGACTTCCAAAAGCCACTGTGGATGAGTTGGTATGAGAAAAAAAAATGAATGCAAACCAGCTAATCCTACTCCCTAATCTTGCATAGGCAGTCCTCGACATACGACCACAATTGGAAGGAAAACTTCCATGGCTCGGTGAGTCAGTTGTTAGAGGGAGTTGTGCCCGATTTTACAACCTTTTCCACCCCTGTTGTTAAACTGTTCAATCGTTGCGGTTGTTAAGTGAATCGTTTGGTCGCTGAGCAAGTTCGGCTTCTCCCCCATCGACTTTGCTTTTCGGAAACGGTTGCGGGAGGTCACAAATGACCCCAGGGACACCAGCCAATTGGCAAGGGTCTGAATTTGGATCCCGTAACCATGCAGATCTGCAACAGTCATAAGTGCGAGGACTGGTTGCAAGTCACTTGTTTTCAGTGCCGTCATAATATCGCTGAATGAAGGGTTGTAAGTCAAGGACTAGCTATATGTACACCAATGCAAGGGTGGGGAAAGCTTCTAAAACCGAGGAATTCTTACCCAATACAGATAGTCCTCAATTTACGACCACCACAGAACCCCAAATTTCTGTTACTAAGCGAGACAATTGTTCAGTGATATATATATATTTTTGGCCCCATTTTCCACAATGGAGGTGAACTTTTCCATTGCTAAACAAGACAGGGAAGTGAGTTTGGCCCAGTATTGCGACCTTTCCGACAAACCGTTGTTAAGTGACTCACGGCAGCTATTAACTTAGTCAGACGGTTGTTAAGGGAATCCGCTGACTTTGCTTGCCAAGAGGTTGCAAAAGGGGATTGCAGGAGCCCTCTCCAGGATGCTGCAACCGTCATAAATACGAGACAATTGCCAAGCGTCCGAATTTTGACCGCGGGGGGATACTGCAACGGTCGTAAGTGTGAAAAAATGGTTTCGGTCACTATTTTCAGTGCCGTTGTATCTTTGAATGGTCACTAAATGAATTGTCATAAACCGAGGATGATCTGTAGCCTGCCTCTTCCTCTCTATGGTCCTCTCCTCTCTATAACATTTGCTGGAAACTTGGGTGGGCCTGGACGAAATTCTCTGTTTAGTGGCTGCGTTTCCCAACCTTTAGCAGCCTAATTTAAATTAAATATAATTTAAAAGGTGGTTTCCACTACAGGAGCTCTCTCAGGGATTTCTAGAAACTTCTTGGCCTCAATGAAATTGGCAGATATAAGGCCATTTTCCTGACCTGGGTCCTCCAGAGGGGCTGGGGACTACAACTCCCAGAATCCCTCAGCTGGCCCTGAGGAATTCTGGGAATCGCAGGCCAAAGAGAAGGAGGGGGGGAAAATGATTGACGACTGAGGTAAGGCATCTTGGTGGAAGTTAGAACGGCTAAGCCAGAGGTATATTGAAAGTGGTCTGTTACCGTGGCAACTTTACGATTTGGGGGACTTCAACTCCCAGCATTCTTCAGCCAGCCAGAGGAATTCTGGGAGTTGAAGTCCCCCCCCCAATTGTAAAGTTGCCACGGTTACGGACCACTATGTTTTGAAGGATGCTCAGGAACCAAATAATTCCCGGGAAGGAAGGTGGGCATTGGGAGTGCCAACGAAGGTCGGATCTTCCCTTGTGCCAACTTAGAGGTCGTCAATCCTGGCAACACCTCCCAAAAGGTGGGAGCAGGGGGAGGGGGGACTCGGGGTGGGGGGGTGGCCACTGTCAACTCAACCAGCTTCCTTGACCTGTTCGTTCCATTTGGGCACCCTTGGCACACAACCCCCAAACTGTTTTTTTTTCCCAAAAAAGTTCTGAACCGCAGAATCCGAGGAAGCTCCTCGGATGAGAAGCGAAACCTCTTCAAGGGGGAAAAAAAACCATTTTGCTTCTCACCCAGGGAGCTTCTTCGCGTCTGAACTGCAGAATCCGAGGAAGCTCCTCGGATGAGAAGCGAAACCTCTTCAAGGGGAAAAAAAACCCATTTCGCTTCTCACCCAGGGAGCTTCTGCGCTTCTGAACTGCAGAAACCAAGGAAGCTCCTCGGATGGGAAGCGAAACCTCTTCGAGGGAAAAAAAAACATTTAGCTTCTCACCCAGGGAGTTTCTTCGCTTCTGAACTGCAGAATCCGAGGAAGCTCCTCGGATGAGAAGCGAAACCTCTTCGAGGGAAAAAAACAAACAAAGCCCGCTTGCCTTTTTTGGAGGGTCGCGGGGAGGGGGGGGAAGGCACCTTGACCTGGATGGGATGAGAAAATTTCCACAGACATTTTGCCGGTTAAAGGAACCCGGAGCCCTGGCATGCCCGTCTGCGGGGCAGGGTTAAAAAAAACAAACCAGCATAGGTCTTGCTTGCATCGGGGGCTTTGAGGGAATCAGGGCTGCATCCTGGAAGGAGGAAGGGTTGAATGGCCAGGCAGCCATATAATAGTCTGCCATCTCTTTAGCGTCAGCCACCTCCTTCCCAGCGGTTCCCGAAGGACATCTGTTCGCCCCAGAATCAGGTCGCGGGGTGCCATCTGAAGATGCCCTTCGGGTTCCCGTTTTGGGAAGAAGGAGCGAGCCCTCGCCTGCGTGCCTGCAGGTGCGAATCGCGGGTGGAACCGGCCCCCCTCCCCTCGGCTGGCTTCTACAAAGAAGGATGCTGAATGGAGAGAGGGGAGGAGGTTTCTCCCTCTGGCTGTCTGAGTTGGCCGCTTTCGGCTAGGCTCGGAGGGTGATGGGGGGGGGAACACTCTGCTCTGGCTGGGCTCCCACAGGTGCCGTTACGGCTTCGCTCCCTTCCCGGCAGAGCCCTGGCCAGGCCTGGCATGGCACGCCCCCCAAAAATAGGGGCAACGTGGCTTTTTTCACTGAAGGAACAGAGCAACTGAACCCAATTGAAGCCCCCTTCATGCTGGGAACAAACCCTAAATCGGAGCCCCGGGGCCTGGCACCACCACCCCACCCCCCCGGCAGAACACAGCTGGGAGAAAGTGGGAGGGAGGGAGAAGGGGGCTGGATTGACCTTCAGTGAAAGTCAAAAGACCTCCAAGAAGGATGGAGGTAGCATTCAGACATTCCCAGGTGGGTTTTCAAAGGGGCATCCCCCCCTTCCCCTCGCCTGCCTTTATTTCAGGGACCCCAAAAAGACCCCCTTTTGCACCAGGAGCCAGGGAGATTGTGGGGGTGAGCCGTGGACCGCCGAGACGTGGCATCGGAGGGAGGGCTAGGGGTGCATGCCAAGGATCGTGCGATCCGTCATCTGAATGCAACATTCACGGAGGAGACAGTGCCCCGTTCTGCTAGCGCCATACCTCTGGCAAAAATTAAAGAGGAGTGGGGGGGGGGAAAGGGAGACTTTTGGGGGGCGATCGACACACACGCAAGCCTGCTTGCACTGTGGGCCCACGTGTTTACCACGTGCCCGCCACTTCTCCGTCTCCCCAACCCGAGGCTTCCCACCCCAGTACCGAGACGGGCGTCGTGCCTTGGCGACACGAACGCCTGGTCACCAGCGTGGAAGCCGGTGCCCGCCCGATCCCCGGCGTCGCAGAGCGTCACGCCACCCACATCTCTCCCCACCGCCGTGCCCTCCGATGGAATCTTTTGCCTGGCAGCCATTGAACGAGGGGAGAGGGGGGGGGGGTGGACAGAAGACAGAAGGAGAAGAGGAAACCTCCCCGGCTGTCTCTCCTCTCGTCGGCTTCGAAATGGCCTCGAATCGACAAGCCGGCAAAGACACGGAAACCCCTTCCGAGGTGGGGTGGTGGGGGGAGAGGCAGGAGAGAACCAGGGCGACAAGCGGGATGCCAAGCGAGGGAGTGTGGGCACCCGAGGGCAGAGGCAGAGGGAGGGAGGAGGAAGGAGGGAGGGGGTATCAGCATGGATGACAACCGTCCTTCCATCCGAGCCGGGAAGCAGCTGCAAAGACGGTCGGACGGATCTGCGGCGGACGGTCGGTTACGAGGCGAAAACCAGACGAGACAGTCAGATTTCATGGGTAAATAAACACGGTGCCACGCCAAGGGTGGCTTCGAGGTGGAGAGGAGAAGAGGAAGGGGGGGAGGTTGAGAGGTTGACGGGCAGCCTCCCCGAGCCAGGCAGGAGAGGCTGCCCAAGTGGGTGTGTGCTGACGGGGCGGGGGGGGGGGGGGGTGTAGGCAGAGGGGGATGGGCTGATGGAGGACTTGCCTTTGAATGAAGCCAAGGCAAGCTGTGGAGATACCTGATTCTGCTTGTAAACAGCTGGATTTCTTCTTCTCTTTTCTCTCTCTCTCTTTCTCTCTTTCTGTTTGTTTGTTTGTTTGTTTCTAAAATCTTTTCCGGAACCACCTGATTGTTGAGAAGCGAGAGTTCCCTGGGAGAATTCAGTACGTAAAGACCAAGTCCGAAATGCTGGACATCAGCCAGTCCCCTGCGATCATCTCAGTCACTTCCGGGGTGCAGTAATCGGGGAACTCAAAATGAGACGAGGCGCCCAAAGGGAAAAGATCCAGGTCTTTATCGAAGACCGACCAATCCGGGCTCCGGCAAGGGGGCGTGTTTGGCTGGATTCGGCTGGGCACAACGTTCCAAAGATCTTCCTCCGGCTCGTCGTCCGAGGAGGCGAAGGAAGAAGGAGGAGAAGAAGAAGTAGAAGACCTCGTCGAAGCGGGAGAAGACACGTCGGAGGACCAGGGCTTGGCGAGCTCGCCGCCGTCGGCATCTTTGGCCTGGCCAGAGTTGGCCTCCCACTCTCCTTTCTCGCCACCTGCGGGAAGCACGTGCCAGAATTCCTTGCTGGAGGTTTTGGGAGCCTCGTCAAACGATACCTCCAGGATGCGGGCTTCCAACGGGTCGTCGTCCGGCTTTGGAGAGGCGCATCCCCCCTGTCCTTCGGGGTCCGGCTTCGGCGTCTGCCTCCGGGGCGAAGCTGCCCGTCCAAGGACCGAGGGCTTAATCTTGACGGGCACCCTGGGCCGGGCTTTGGCGCTGCCCAACTTGCCTTTCTTCCTGGGACGGTACTTGTAGTCGGGATAGTCGGCCATATGTTTGAGACGTAGCCGTTCGGCCTCTTTGACGAAAGGGATTTTCTCCGAATCCTGTAGCAACTGCCAGCGCCGTCCCAGCCGCTTGGAGATCTCGGCGTTGTGCATGTCGGGCCACTGGTCCATGATCTTCCGCCGTTCGTTCTGGGACCACACCATGAAGGCGTTCATGGGGCGCTTGATGTGCCCGCTGGGGGTCTTGCACCAGTCCGGCTCGCCCGTGCCATCTTTCAACAGCAAGCTGTCTTTGGAACACGCCTCCTGCTTCGCTTCCACGCCTCGGCTCCGCGTGGAGCTGCGTTGCTGGACCATGCTGTTGCCCTGATGCGCTGCCGACTCTCCGAACACTCCTCCTTCGGATGCTCAGTCCAAGCCGGGGTTATTTTCTCATCCTCCGGTGGGTGGAAACACCGTGGCGGCGGGTCTCGGCACGGCTGGCGGGTGGGCGGGGGAGCCTCAGTGGCTGCCAGCAAGCGCGATCGCCCCTCTTTCTCTCTCTCTCTGATCCACGCCCCCCTTTTAACTCCGTCTCCGAAGCAGCCGGCTGGCAAACTGACAGCAGGAGGTCCTGGCGGCACCTGCTTTGGGCCTGGGGGAGATGCCCAGCGGCGGGGGGGCGCAGAGAGCCGGGAAGCGGTCGGAAATCTTTGGCAGAAACAGCTGGAGAGCAGGGAGGGTCGGCGGAGGAGGCCGTCCGTAACTCCGTGCGGCGGGATTCTGAGGGCCAGGAGCATCCCCCAGGAACAACGGATGGGCAGATGGAGCAGTCACGCCTTCTCCTTCTCCTCGGGGTGGTGGAGACCTGAGTGGGGAGAGAAGAGGGGGAGAGACCCCCACCGCTCACAGCAGCAGCCCCTCGGTGTCCTCCCCCCGCCACTGCTCCGGGCCGCCCTAGATCGGCTCCGGCTGGCTTTACAAACAGAGCCTGCTCACGCCCACTCTTGCTTGCTCTCCTCCTCGCTGCCTTCTCTTATAGCCCATCCTCGCTGACAGCCCCCTCCTCCTCCTCCTCCTCCTCCTCCCCGTCCCCCCTCCCCGACAGGCTCGGCCCCTCCCCTCCAGCACAGTCTAGGGCTGCACACATTTCTACCGAGAGTAAACACCAAGGTGCTGCTCCTTCTGTCAATGGGGCGCCCCTCCTCC